ATATATATATATATATATATATATATATGGTTATCTTTCTACTTAAATTACACAGATTTTGCATTGTTTATGGTTCTAACGTGACCCACCTTATAGTTTTACTTCTAAACAAGTTATTTACATGCACAATATACATGGGAATCATTAAAAAGAACCGGATCAAAATAATCACTTGTTCGTGAATCAAATCTTACTTCGCGGGCGTAATCCAGTCATTTCAATAGGAATGCGCGCGTTCCTCGAAAGGTCATCGTGCAAATTTCGCTCGTTCCAGTTTTACACGCGATTTCGTTGCTCTGATTAACAGAACTCTGCTTGGTTTGAAAGTGACTTCTGTGCGAGCTATGCTTTATACATCCCTAAACTATTAATAATGGACTTTTTGCCCGCGAAATTTCGCGGCAGCATCGCTAACATGACCGCTGTAATGATTTATCCCACTGGTGACAGAAATCTGTTCAAAGAGACTAATATTGAGGAAATTAAATATTTTATTAAATACAGTTGAGCCAATTTACTTCATAAAATAGAATTGTAGGGTAGATACGAGTTAATATACACTACATTGACATTAATTATGAAAAAAGAAATAAACAAAACAAATCTAAATAATAATAAATTCATCACAGAGCCAAAGAAAATAACATGTTGATGAAGTGAAGAGAGAGTGAACAGTCCAGAAGGTTTGCAGGAGTTGTTGGTGGTGGGATTGTTCGAGTGGCTCTGTCTACCTGCTGAAGAGCTTCATGAAGCTCTGGAATCCGTCTTCACCGAAGAAATCAAACGTTCCTTCTGAGCTTCCCAGATGAACCACGAGCAAGACCAGCAGACCCAACACCAGCAGAGGAATCAAGAGATTCCAGCCCGATGCCAGAATGTTGTACCACTTCGCTTTGTCCGAGAATTCCTGTGCTGCACGCATGTCTCCCAAGGTCTTCTGATCTCGAGCCTGAAAACAAACAGATGGAAACAAGTCTCAGACAGTTGTCTTTTAACACATGAACTCCTCAAAAATCAAGGTTCTTCAATGGTTCCTTGCATTAAAGAACCGTCTTACCTTCTCTACCTTAACTGCACTCTTAAAATGTATTTGCATTGATGGCTTCATGAAGAACCTTTAACATTCATGGAATCTTTTAATTTCACATAAGGTTCTTTATAGTGGAAAAAGGCTCTTCACATTATTAAAATGAAAAATATGGTTCTTTTAAGATCTGTTCACTGAAAGGTTCTTTGCTTGGGAAACTAAAAATGGCCTCGCTGCGAAATTCCCCTTTTGGAGCCTTTATTTTAAAGAGCGTGCATCTCATCTCTATAGGGTTCTTGAGTTGCTTTATGGTCCTTTGGAGATCAAAAAGTTCTTGATGTTGTATTTTTGGTTCTTCAGATGGTGTTTCTTGGTTCTTTAAAGCATCAGTAGATAATGTTTTTTCTTATCAACTATAGGTTCTTCTATTGGAGGGTAAAACCAATTTTGGTTCTGATTAGAACCTTGATGGTCCATCATGTGACATTCAGGAATATTTCTGAAGAAGTTTGAAAGCCACAAAAAAGACGAAATGATTCAAAAGACATTTGTGTTTGAGCTCACCTTGATGGAGTAGATCAGACCCATGAATCCCAAGCAGCAGAAGTTGACATAAAGAGTGTTACAGAGCGACCAGATCAGGTAGTCGTTTGGTGGCTTCTTGCCCGCATGACTCATGTTGACCACCGTGGAGCCGCCAGCCTTTCGGCCGGATTTACAATTAGTGAGCGGAGTGCAGTCATTCACGTAGCTGTATGTGGCGTTATCCATCCTCGGAGGTCAGGGGTCGAAACTCCTGGGAGAATCTGAAGAGGAATTACTGAGGAGAAAGATCAGGACACTACTTATACAACACTGCAGAAGGGTGGAGTCAGAGACAGAGCGATGGAGAGAGTGGTCATTCATTATGTGGTTGTTGCTAGAGAGATGAGGGCAGGGTGCTGCTTCTATACATGGACCCATTTCGACGAAATTTCTAGGTTTGTCAAAAAACGCATAATTAAAATTTCAAGTATTTTTAAAGAATTCGAAATAAATACAAATGCATAAAAATTCATTAATATACTTTACATTTCTTACTGGGTTAAAAATGCTACGTTACCAAATTTCTGACTCATATTTTTTAAGGGAATTTTATGAGCTTGTAACCCTTTTCTTTAGAAAGAAAAATACAGAGGGGAGTTTTTAAGAGGATAGAAATGTGGATGGGATGCAAGCCGTACTCGAACCTGCATCCTCATCGGAGCACCAAAGCTCAAATGTTCAGGATGCATGTGTGCTACAGTTGCACATTTAAAAAATCATTCAAGTTATGTTCACTGTGGTCGCCACAGTGTCCCGTTACAAAATATTAGGATCTGAGTTCCTGTGTAAGAAAATGGCGCCCCCTACTGTGTACGCACTTAAGAAAACAATTAAAGGAGAAATTCACTCAAAAAAAATTGTTTTAAAACCTGTAAAGTTTTCTTTCTTTAAACAGAATGCAATATTTTGAGTCTTAAGAAGCCATGCAGTTTGTCTCTTGTGGGAGGAACTACCTAAAATTTATAATTTACTAATTTATCTTAAACTTTGACCTCCATCATAGCTTTCAAATCTCATGCCCACATTTTTTTTTCAAAGTAAGAGATGAAAATGAAATAGAGAGCAACCAGGATTTATAAAATAAATCCACAACTCAGTCATAGAGCTCAAATATTCATATTTATTTTTACAAAATGACAAAAGGTGTTACATTCGTATTATCAGAACTGAATTATATTCAGTTAAAGGCAAAAGAGACGGAAAGAGTTAATTTCTCTTATTTAATATTAAACGGCATCAGTAGCCAAGATATAAAGAAAAAAAAAAATCAAAAGGCTCACACAGTATTAATATTAAACATTTGTGTTCATTCTCAGATTATTTTTGGCTATTCTACATTTCGCACACAATCAAAATGCAGAAATATGCAGAAACAGACTGATTTAGTTTGGATAAACTCAAACTTGCATATATGCATCAAAGGCCTCCATTTGGTTTGACGGCATTAATCATGATTAAGGAATCAGCGCTGCATTTGCTAATACCACTTGTGTTGTGAATTGGCCATATTAGATATGATGTCCGTATTTCTACAGCACACAAGGAATGAATTAAGCATCATGACTTTATATCACACTCTATAAGAGAATGAATGTGTTTATATGTGTGTGCAGAGAGGCGGCACTTTGAAATCACATCTTAGAAGCTGCGGCCACAGCGGACGCTCCACCACGAGTATAAACATGAATAGTGTTCTGGAGAGATAAAGAAGACAGAGAAAATAACGCTTATTTCCACCACAGAATAAAAGAAGGTAATTCGGACTCTTGCAATTATGACTTATTTTCCTCAAACTTCTGCTTGTCTACAGGTCAGGTGTCCAAAAATGCAAGGGAAAAACAGAATTGCAAGATAAACTAAGAATTCAGAGGGAAAAAAGTAATTAACTGTGTGAGAAAAAATTATATTATTATAATTTTTGTAATAATTTAAATTTACATTTATTTTTGGTTTAATGTTGTTGTGTGTGTTTTTTTAATATAGCTTTTTTAAATATATTGAATTATAATATTTTATTTCAGCTTTTTATGTTTTCATTCAGTTATTTTTTTTAATGGTTTTACTCATAGCTATAATATTTAAACTTTAACTATAATGATTAACTATAACAATTTTGATACACACTAAAATAACATACGCTGCAAGAAAAATTTCAAAGCTGTAAATAATAGCTTACGTGAGTGCATTTTCCAAAAAAATCCTATTTTAGTCTTTGGCTATTTATTGTACTTGCCATTTCTTTGTAATTAATTGTACAATTTACTAGCAATTTCTAAGTGAAATTTTTTCACCAAATTTTTTAGGGTGTACAAGAATGTGTGCGAGACTGATGAGAATGTTTTCTACCTTTTTCCCTTCCGTGTTGTATTTATCCAGGAGAGTTTGAATGCGAGTGCCATAATCGGGGTGAACGGCCATCAGGTTTTGCACCTGCAAAAAATAAAAAATAAAAAATAAAAAAATAAAATCACAAAAATCTGAATCAACTGAAATCAAGCGTTTTTATCCAGGAATGTTTACATAATCCTCAATAACTACTAAGGAGAAGTTTGACTAGTCTGCATGACCATGAAACTCATAGCACCAAAAAAACAAAAAAAAGATCATACCGCACGTTTCTGAATAAACAGTTGAGCTCCTTTTATATGGCCGGCCATGTTCTGACACAGACGCTCTCGCTCAGCTTCGTTCAACACCTGAGTGAAGAAAGTGCGCACCTGTGGAACACATCAGAACGGGAAATGTTATAACCTGGTGTGCCTCACACGTCCTGAAAAGTGAAGCTGCGGACTCTTTGATCGCCCCCTGGTGGCTGGCTGCAGTACAGGACATAAACCCCGCCCTCTCCATGTAAACGAATGGGACTTGAGTCAAAATAAAAAAATAAATTACACTTCCAATTAGGCCTGGGCGATAAAACGGTATCGATATTTATCGACGGTACACCTTCATCGATAACGATATTAAAAATGTTCAATATAGCGCACGATATAGGCATGTGCTATGAGTGATGCAGACAGCTCACACAAACACGAACACATGCTGAATTGAGTGCTGTGCCTGCCTGTGATGAGGAGATTGTGAATAAAAAAAAAAAGAATATTAGTCGAATTTAAAATAAACATTTGCATTTGAATGCAAAAATAGAACAATCAAAGGTTAGGAGTGCGTCAGGGAGTGTCCTCAGT